GTTGTGTGTGTGTGTGTGTGTGTGTGTGTGTGTGTGTGTGTGTGTGTGTGTGTGTGTAAATTGTGCGTGTGCATGTGGGTGGAGGGGTGAGGCGTGGTGTCAAGTTTCAGGACTGATTACGGCACTGCCGGCCCACTCTGGTTAGCCAGGAGTTATATAAACCTCAGAGAGGTCAGGAGGCGACAAAGCTAGCATATCACACACAAAAGTGAGCCACCACCACCGGTTGGGAAACCACTCAGATATCCTAAATTGCGTACTCGCGCTACAGCAGCGAGGCCAAGGCAGGGTAGAGAGGGTCAGATAATACATCTACAGCAGCACAGCAGGCAGGCAGGGGGAGGCACCTGCTCAGTGTCACTGCTGGAGGGCCTGTGGTGGCTAAAGAAGACAGGCCATCAGTATCCATCAGGGACACTTCCATCTCTTTCTATACAGCGAAGGAGCCATTTGGACCCCTAGGTTTTTTAAATGTGATATATTGGGGCAAAAAATCAGCAATCATTAAAATATCTGATTGTACAAATGTATCTGAGCACAGTGAAATGCTGTAAGGCAGATATGCAATCACAACTGGCTCTGAAGGAGAAAGGGAGGCTAAACAACAGCAAATAACACAGATCACCCAAATGCACGGTTTGGAAAAAATGTATAATTGCAATACGATAACTGAGAGGTTGGCTGATTATACATCTCATCCCATTAGCATTGAAAAATAATTTATTTTGATCATATTTGGAATTTTAAACTGGATCTGCAACAAGCAAATATGTTTTTTAATCTGTAGAATAAGCTGTAGGTTGGGATATCTGTACAGCTCCACAATCATCTTGGTACTAACTTCAAAATTGCATTTCAACAAATATTTAGCCTTAAACAGATATTGTGCAACCTGCTATTTTTGTATTGCACTTTTTAATAAACTTGTCATTCATTGTGAAGCCCATACCCCATAATCTGGTAATTGTACCTGGTCTCTTATCTGCAGCATCAAATCACTGTTTAGGCATGATTAATGTTATTGCGGTCGTCGGTCTATCCTGGTTTTTGTCGTGTGCTAGAACTGTAGTGGCCCATGTGAGCTTGATGTTTTAACGAGGGCTCCTTAGAAAAAGGTGGGGCTGATACCAGGGTGTGTACTATCCTCTTCAGTCTGAGTACTCATCAGAGGGGTGTTTTGAAATCTGCTGTGCCCACAAATCTCCAAAACCAGTTTCCTTTGTTGCCTTTGGGGATAAGTGTAATTTGTACCCATATATAGCTATATCCAATCCAATGGAAGACACATTAAGATTGTGATCAAGAATACAAAATGTGTCAGGAAGGAAAGAAGGACACACATCTCCATTTGGAAATACAACACATTTCGACAGTAATCAAACTCTAAATTAAAGGAAATTAAACCATTTGACATATTACTATTCGACATTTGGACAGAGTTTTACAAAGCGAATCTGAGTACCCTGCACTAAATGAATGACTCAATTCTCAGTTTGAATGTGCTGAACGTTTAGGTAGCTATGTTTGCTCAACTTCACCTTTTTGAACTGCTACGTTAATGTTTGGTTATTCTGTCAGCAACATAGTTCAGAACCTGAAAGTCTGTTCTCGACCATCCCCCACACACACCATGGAGAAAAACTCAGTTATATCTAGGGATGCATATCGTTGACTTTTTAACGATACCGATACCACTGAACGATACCGTTACTCAACCGATACATATCGGGATACTTTGAAAATGTATCATCCCACAATTACTCCCATGAAGAGCTTTACGATATAGTTACTTAACATGTCAAATGAATATTAAATTCAATTGTGGGACTTCTTGGACC